ATATAAGAAGTACCTCCCCCTTTCCCTTACCTTCACCCCCCCCCCACTCACACCCCCTTCCAGTCCAACGTAATCCTAGGCTCATGGGCACTGTTTTGTTTTTAAAGTTTAATCCATGAAAATAAAAATGTCAATAAGCACAATTATTAAAATTTAAAGGCTTCACATCCCCTTTTTTTAATTTCAACTATTAATCGTTTTTCTGAATGGGGCAATTTTTAATCATTTTCAAATTATTGCTTTTTTTTAAATTTAAATTCTCACAATTTTAATTCAGGTATATACTAATAATATGCTAAGGGTATTTAAAGCAGCTTAAACTATTACAAAACGATCAACAGAAAAACAGAAACGGTTCAACAATGACAAAAAAAAGAAACGTGCCCGACTCTATCCCCCCACCCCCACCCCCTCCCCTCGTTCTTGTGCGCGTATAAATAGGTGTTGGGTGTTTCTGATTTAAAAACCTGTTTATTAGATCAGTTGTCAATTCAGTCAACATACCCGTTTATTGGCCTTAATATTCAAACCAAAATAAGACTTATTCAATATACGCCCTTACTCAACAATCATCAAGTATTCTTATCTTTTCCTGTTCCTATCCTGTTTCTATCCTGTTCCTATCTTGTTCCTATCCTGTTCCTATCCTGTTCCTATTCTGTTCCTATCCTGTTCCTATCCTGTTCTTATCCTGTTCCTGCCCTGTTCCTATCCTGTTCCTATCCTGTTCCTATCCTGTTCCTATCCTGTTTCTATCCTGTTTCTATCCTGTTCCTATCCTGTTCCTATCCTGTTCCTATCCTGTTCCTATCCTGTTTCTATCATGTTCCTATCCTGTTGTTCCTGTCCTGTTCCTGTCCTGTTCCTCTCCTGTTCCTTTCCTGTTCCTTTCCTGTTCCTATCCTGTTCCTATCCTGTTCCTATCTTGTTCCTATCCTGTTCCTATACTGTTCCTGTCCTGTTCCTACCCTGTTCCTATCCTGTTCCTGTATCTGAAATCCTGTTAATTGAACATATGTCATCTCTTGGAGGAAATTAGGTTAAAAACACAAATGCATGCTTAAACATGCACCATAAAATACACACACAACCCATTCAAGAATATATACCCTCCCCCCTCTCAAGAATAATTTACATTTAATACTATTGGCGTTTTATTTGAAATATTTTTGAAAAAAAGTATGTTAAGGGACTGCTATGTAATTTCTAGTGTCCCTCACAGTTTTAACTCCCCCACAACTGTTAAACTTCATGTAAGACGACATTCAATAAAGTTGCATGTAATTTTTTTCCAAAAACGACCGTTCTGAAAAAGTTCGTCGTTTCGTTAACGATCGTTAACGACAACCCTTCGTTAACGATCGTTAACATAATTGTCAATAATTTTTTTTTCAAAAACGATCGTTTTTTCAAAAACAATCTTATAAAAAACGGTCGCAAATCGTTTTAATTAAACGATCATTTTCAAAAACGATCGCTATTCGTTTTCTAACAGTTCAAAACGAGTGGGTCGTTTTTAAAAACAATCGTTTTTTCCAAAAACGAAACGATCGTTTTTGAAAACGAAACAAAAAACGATCGTTTACAAAAAAGATTAACAACGTACCGTTGTCCATCGGGCATTGCCATTTTTGCAAGGAGGTTCATTTGAAATTATGCTTACAGTTCCTTTAAGAAATCTCAGTTTTGACAAAAAAAAAACAGGTTTTTGATAAACACTAATTAAAATCTGATAGTGGGCGCTAAGCGCACGTGTTTTTTTCTAAAAGTTAGCTTTTGCACACTTCACACAAATATCACGCAATTTAATCGTTTTTGTGAGAAAGTATTTGTTTACAAACAAAACAAATAAAGGTCGAAATGTCACCTTTCATAAAATAAATTAGAAAAAAATGGCAAATACAAATTTAAAAACAAAACAAAAATGGAAACTGTATCTTCAATTTCTTGACAGACAGACATGATGCGGAACAGACACACAAACACCAAACTTCACTTTCAATTGTTGCATAAGTGTATATTGTATATCCTGAGGGTAAACAGCACACTTAAAATTGAACATTCAAATCTTAATTCTGGATTAGATTATCTATATCTATCTATATATATATCTATATACAAAGAGAATAGAATATATATTAGAGGGGAATTTAAAGAATCTCTCGGTATGAATTTTTTTAGTCCCTTTCAGTCTGAAAGGGAGTTCAAAGTGTACAAATCATGTAAATCTTCACAAATTATATGCAGTAGAGTACATTAATACAGTATGTTCCCTAGACTAATAATTTAAATTTCGATTTTTTTAAACTGTTAAATAAACTTTATAATGAATTAGGTGAATAAAAAACATCATTTGATTTATAGTTATATCGGAAAATCATCGTTTGTAAAGTGGAAGGCATAGAGTCTATGTGAAATGATCATTGGTCAATTATGAAACCAGCCTATTTCATAATTTGGTTTTCTTTTAACAATAATTTTAGATTTTCTATAAAATGATATTCCAGGACCCAATAGGTTATATAGCATAAATATGTGAAATACACCTGCAGTATGGAAACAGTACAACAAAATGGCCGTTTTACACTTTTTTCTAGTAAATTCCCCTCTAATATATATTTTATTCTCTATGTCTATATATCAATAAATATCTCTTAATATCTCTATATATCTCTATTTATCTATGTATATCTCTACATATCTCTATATCTCTATATAACTCTATTTATCTAAGTATATCTCTACATATCTCTATATCTCTATACATCTCTCTATCACGCGAACACATACAACAAAGTACATTCTATCTGAGAAATACTTTTAGTCATATTTTAATCTTAATTATTCAAAGGAGTTGAATTTTTGCAACAAACTCTAATTTTCTAATCTCTATATCTTTGTAACCCAATGTCGTAGACCTTAGATATTTCAAACTATTAATACTTATAGATAGAATAATCCAAGTTTGAAATATCAAAGGTTTGCACCATCTGGTTGCAAAGATATTGGGATCAGAAGATTTGAGTTTGGGGCAAAAACTCAATTCCTTTAATTTAAAAATTATACATTTTCAAAAAGAAAAAGTTTTTTTTCCATGATTATTTACAAAAATTATTGAACACAATTAAAATAAGGTCTAAATTGCTGCAAACAAATATTAGCACATATATAAATGAAAACCAACAAAGAACATGAAGATGAATTATGAACTGTGAACAAATATCAACCATGATAAACAGAAATATGAACATAAACACAAAAATCAACCAAAATAAACAGAAATATGAACATGAACATAAAAATTAATGCTAACAGAAATATGAACATGAACATAAAAATTAATGCAAACAAAAATCGAAACAAATAAAACATAATATGAACATAAACGTATACACATAAACAGAAGTTTAAATACAAACAAAAACGAAAATAAACATAACAAATAAACACAAACATAAACACAAGTTTGAAAACAAACACCAAACATTTAAGCATGGCCACAGTATAATGAACATATATGAAATAAAACATAAAAACCATCATAACCAACGCTTATTAACAGAAACAATATAAGTATCGTACATGAACGCAAACTTAAACCAAAATAAAAATAAACAGATAAAAAAACATGAACACAATATGAACATAAACAAAAACACAAACATAAACACAATTTGAACATAAACAAAAACACAAACATGAACACAATATGAACATTAACAAAAAACAAACATGAACACATTATGAACATTAACAAGAACACAAACATGAACACAATATGAACATTAACAAGAACACAAACATGAACACAATATGAACATAAATAAAAACACAAACATAAACACAATATGAACATAAACAAAAACACAAACATGAACACAATAGGAACATAAACAAAAACACATACATAAACACAATATGAACATTAACAAGAACACAAACATGAACACAATATGAACATAAACAAAAACAAAAACAAAAACATAAACACAATATGAACATAAACAAAAACAAAAACATAAACACAATATGAACATAAACAAAAACATAAACACAATATGAACATAAACAAAAACACAAACATAAACACAATATGAACATTAACAAAAAAACAAACATGAACACATTATGAACATAAACAAAAAAACAAACATGAACACAATATGAACATAAACAAAAACACAAACATGAACACAATATGAACATTAACAAAAACACAAACATGAACACAATATGAACATAAACAAAAACACAAGCATACACAATATGAACATTAACAAGAACACAAACATGAACACAATATGAACAAAAACAAAAACACAAACATGAACACAATATGAACATAAACAAAAACACACACATGAACACAATATGAACATTAACAAAAAAACAAACATGAACACATTTTGAACATAAACAAAAACACATACATAAACACAATATTGTGGCGGCTATGAAAGTCGTCTTTTAGTTAGAGAATCTCTCGCGGCAGCTAGAAGGAAAAGAGGAGTTTCAAGGCCACGTAGATATTGTTACGCGAGCCATGCTGCGTTCATAAAGTCTATGTGATGCCCCTGTGAATCCCTGAGTTCTCCCTGCGGATCTGTACAGAACGTATTGTAAAAAACTAGTTTTAGAAGCTGTTTCCAGACCGACTACGCATGCGCAAGTTTTCTGCGTGGAAGCGGGCAGATTCTACCTTAGTATATATTTGTTTTTCATGTAAGATCGTCTATTATTAAACCGTGTGAAATTCTAGAATCACTGCGGTAATTATGCTTTATATTTATATGAATCTTGCTTATTTATGTTCGGTTATGGTTGATATCTTATAATGTAATGTATTGGTTCCATTCCACAGTTTTTTAATGCCTAAGTTGATTTATTGCTGTGCTTGTATGATTTATCACTCAATGCTTTTTCTGTGGGCTTATAAAAAATTATTTAGATTGAAGTCTCGGAGAAATAAACGTTCGGAACCTTATTATTATCCTTTTGTTATGGAGAGCGTTGAGAGAAGGAAGTCTTACAATCCTGTCCAGAGAAATACCACACGGTACTTATACAAATTTCATTAGGTCTTTAGGAAAATCGCTAAGTAGCGAAACAGATATAAACATGTGATCGTTAAAAATATGGCATTTTTCTAACCTTGTATATTCAAAGTAAAATATAGTTAATTGTTTTGAAATCCTTGTCGTTATTAGCCGACCGCCAAATTAGTGACCCCGGACTATTTGAATACATTTTCTAAGTCCTAAGTGAAGCAACCCACCGCTTTGCATTATTCTTTATATAAACATAATAACATGAACATAAAAACTCAGTGTTTTGAGTTAGTTTTTTCGCTAGTGTTATTTTACAGTTCCACCTCAAAAACATCACCAGCAACACCACCAAGTTCCATCATGTGGTTGCATCTCTACCACAGAAGGAAATAGATAATGTAGTGGATATAATAAGGAACCCGCCTGCTGCAGATCCTTATGGTGTATTGAGGTCTCGTCTTTTACAGACACACTCTCTCACGGACTACGCACCTTGTGAATCCATCATGTCACTTCCTTTGTCTGGAGATATGCTACCCTCAGCTCTGTTGTCCAGGATGAGGGCTCTCCTTCCTATAGAACATCAAGAGTGCTTGTTCCTGCGGTATGCTTTCTTGAGACAACTTCCATCTGATGTCAGGTCTCACTTAGTCCATGATAAAACCGCCGATATTGCCGTTCTCTCTCAACCTGCTGACGAGATTTACCGGAGTAGTTTGTCCTCTAGTTCGACGGTGAACGCCCTGGATTCTGTGCATGCTGTTATTACTCCTCCTTCTAGGCAGAACCGCCGTAATCAGCGTTCTCAGAGAGCCTCTATTCCAGTTACCCACCGTTCTCAAACTCCTGCAGCTTTGTCCCGCCGTTCATCTTCACCATCCTTTTGCTGGTACCATGCCAAGTTCGGTTCCAAGGCCCTCAGTTGTCAAGCTCCATGTGCCTGGTCGGGAAACTAGAGCACCGGCAGGAGGATGCTTTTTCCCTGCCTGCCGGTTCAACGGGTTCTGCTCTCATCTATCTCCTTGATGGTCTCTCCAACCGTCGTTTTCTAGTTGATATTGGGGCTTCAATCCTGGGTTTTCCATCTCCAACCTCATCTTCAACCTCTGGTGTTCGGTTACTCACGGCTGATGGGTCAACTTTAACCTGCTCTGGTTCCAGGATTATCCCTCTACGGTTTGGAACGTGGAATTGTTCCTGGACTTTCCAACTGGCTCCAGTTTCTGTTCCAATCCTTGGAGCAGATTTTCTTCAATATCTTTTTTAAAATCTAAATATTTATTGTCTTCTTATTTAAATTGTACAAAATAGTTTACATGTGTTCAAATAAAGCTTAACGACAAATTCGTTTACATTTTTTTGAGAGATTTGTATAAGGGTTAAATACATTCATTTCTTAAATTAAAAATTTGGAATTAAGGATACTTGGATCCTGCAAAACATATAATTTGAAGAGTGCATCAGTGAAGTAGTAGAACATTAAAAGCATATAATAAGTCATTGACAATAAGAGGGTATGCGGATTGAATAGAAATTTTTAATATAAGAACCGTTTGCACATAATTTGGGCAATTTGTGTAGAAATCAGTTTGCGCAAGCACTTTACAATTTTCATGAAACATTGGTATAAAGTCAATGTACACTATATGGAAAATACAACGATTGTACTAACGAAGAACATTGAAGGTTCTACATTGGTATGGCATTACATTAGTTAAACTATGTCGTCTTGATGCTATTTAGCCAAACTAAAAGATAGAAAACTATATCTTTAAGATACATACTGGCGAGGAACATTGATGGTTCCTTCCTGCATGTTCTTTTCTCTCTGTGGTTTAGAATCTACACGACCGACGTGAAGATAACAGACTCCAAAATTAAGAAATGTTAAATGTGAATAGATTATTAGAGAATCGTTTAGTTTCAATTGGAAGAAAACACATTATACTTAAGAACTAGACTCACATAGAACATTGATGGTTCTGCGCTCCTGTCTAGGATATTGAAAAGAGATTAGGGTTTAATCTCTTCATTTTTCTCAAATCTTCAATACTCTAGAGCGGATATGGTGCTCGTTTATATTGTGCTACAAATTAGAGATATCGATGTAGCGTAGTTGTCCCATTTTCTTGAGACACCTTGGTTTCTCGGCAGTGAGGTTTGTCAGTTCAGGAGGCGTTACAGTTCTTTCAGACTGAATCAGTAAAAAAAGAACATTAGTTTATTTTGAGAGAAGATTCCGGGTAAGAAGGAGGATTCAGATTTTAAACCAAAGTCCTCTTAATTTAAAGATCAATTTCTGAACGATATCAATAAAAATTTATTAATTAAGACAATTTATTTATAGGGACTCAATTTTACTGTGAGTTTTTATTTCTTTAGTTTTTAATTAACCTTCCGGACGTAATTTTTTACAAAAATGACGTTTAGTTTTTTATTGCAGTAGTAAAGTTTTATATCCGAAATATCAAATTAAAAAATAAAGGATAAAGAGAAAATCTTTAAACTTAGACAACTGACATTGTATACTTAAAGTTTGAATTTTGTTAGAATTTTATTCCAATAGAGTGTACGTTAGATACGGTTCAATAGGGTTTCAACCTTAACAATCCAAAATGATCCATGTGCACGCTCCTGCTCTCTGTATATAAAAGGTTAAAAATTCATTGATAATGAAGAAAATCTGCCAGTCTTCTAGGGGACTTATGGAAATATATTTTCTTACCGTTATTTTCTGCTGAGTGGTGAAGCTATGGGATCCGCCGGATCCTCTGAGGTTCGCTGCTCATTCATCTTCCAGGTTTCAGTTTAACTAGGTAAAGAGAGAACCATGAACAAAGGAAAAAATCAAGGCTGTTGGGGTTATAATTAAACATGTTGGTAGAGTTCTAATTCTGGAATTCCGAGTATCATTGGAATTCAAAACTTGAGTTTAAACATTGAACTATTTAAGTAAGATCTTCGATTTTAGACTAATTTAATATCTTGGAAGTTTTACATCCGAAGTATCTAATTATAAAATAAAAGATAAGAAAGTCTTTAAACTTAGACAACTGACATTGTATACTTTAAGTCGTAATTTTAATAGAATTTTATTAAATAACATGTACATTAGTTCCGGTTCAATAGGGTTTCGACCTTTAGAATCCTAAAAGATCCGTGTGCATGCCCCTGCTCTCTGTATGAAAAAGATTAAAAATTCATTGATAATGAAGGAAATCTGCCAGTCGTCTCGGGAGCTTATGGAAATATATTTTTTTACCGTTATTTTCCGCTGAGAGGTGCAGCTATGAGATCCGCCAGATCCTCTGAGGTTCGCCGCTCGTTCCTCTCCCGGGTTTCAGTTTAACTAGGTAAAGAGAAAACCATGAAGAAAGGAAGAAAGAAATCTTCTATTTCCCTTTGATATCAAGGCCCTCGGGATTTTAAAATTAAATATGTTGATAAAGTTCTAATTCTGGAATTTCGAATATCATTGGAATTCAAGACTTAAGTTAAAACATTTAATTGAGTAAGATCTTCAGTTTTAGACTAATTTAATATCTTGGAAGTTTTATATTCGAACTATCAAATTAAAGAATAAAAGATAAAAAAGTCTTTAAACTTATACAGCTGACATTGTATACTTTAAGTTGTATTTTTATTAGAATTTTATTAAATAGCATGTACAATAGTTTTGGTACAATAGGGTTTCAACCTTTACGATCTAAAATGATCCGTGTGCACGCCCCTGCTCTCTGTATAAAAAAGATTAAAAAATTCATTGATGAAATGAAGTTCTGCCAGTCTTCTCGGGGACTTATGGGAATATATTTTTTACCGTTATTTTCCGCTGAGAGATGTAGCTAAGGGATCCGCCGGATCCTCTGAGGTTCGCTGCTCATTCATCTTCCAGGTTTCAGTTTAACTAGGTAAAGAGAGAACCATGAAGAAAGGAAAAAAGAAATCTTCCATTTCCCTTTGAAATCAAGGCAGTTGGGGTTATAAATTCTTTTTTTTGCGATTTAAGCCGTATATTAAGGCGCTCAAACGAAGTATTTAATTTATATACTTGATATTATATAACTTCAAGTTTTAATTTCAGAGACGTGATATTTAAATTACATATACTTGATATTACATAACCTCAAGTTTTAATTTCAGAGACGTGATATTCCAAATTAAAATTTTAACAGTGAGAGATTAATTAAATTAGATTTTGGCAGTGAAAGAATTTTTAAATTTGATTTTCGAATTTCATTGATGGAGTAGAGATTCTTGGAATATTAATTAGGCGTAGCTAAGTGGAAATAGTGAAAAACTTTAAATTCAATTTTAATTAAGAAGATAGTAGAGATTCTTGCAATACTATTGGAGAGTAATTAATTTAGAGTCTTTAAGTCTATTCATGTACAACTTTCTTGACCTCAGTATAGAAAAAATGTATATAAAGCCCACTGACATAGAACAAGGTTGGCACGTATTCCCACGGCATCCTGTTAATCTTATTTAATCTTTTTTACCGTTATTATCTGCGTTGTGACTTGCAAATCTGAGATCTGCCGAAATATAGATCCGCATGTCAGTGATCGAGCGATTCCTTGTCTCATACAGCTCCAGCGATCA